AAAATAGTTGTAATAGCTAACCCAATATAAAGTCAATAAAGTATTGTCACCTGCCAGTAAGGCACAGGAGGCCCCCTGTTGTTAACTATCTACCTACTTTTAGAACACTAACACAGGCTACCCTTATAGAGTTCACCTAGACCCCAGTACTGACTTCATAGCATATCCCTAGTACTTTTAATATACCTCTGCTTTGAACTCAGACTCCCAATTCAGATAGCCTGGAAGAACTATAACCTGTCCTTGATATATTAAGGCCGGCTCAATATCCTTTTCTTCTGGTCCAAAATCCAGCAGCCTGGTTGGTGGTACTTCTTACCCAAGGTTCTTGCCTGCCCGAATCCTTCATATTGGTATCTATTTTCTAAGTCTAGCCTTTACAGTAGTACTGTTGAAGATCTATATTATCTCTCTGCTCGGAATTTTCAAGTATGCTCCAGCTTCCCAGTTCTACAGATTTACATGGCCTGAGGACTTATTTTAGGTTTGCACTACCCAGTACTGGTTTGCATTCCTCTGTGTAACAGATTACACAAATGCCCCAGACCTGCCAGTTATGCTAGTGTGACTATAGTTACAGGTATCCTATTCCAACTGATTGACAGAATGCCATCACCATAATACTGTCTATATATTATATAGATGATTATCCAAATTTTGCAATTGGTGGGTTTTGAACTTACAACCTACTACTTGGAGATATGACAACTTATCTACTTTACTAAGTCACCACACCCTAGCATGTTTAATAATAATAATTTTAAAATTATAGTGAACCAAAACCTGTTTATAATCAAGATTTATTTTTATTGGCATTAGATAATAATAATATTAGCAATTGCTATAATGATAATAATATTGATAACTATAATAATAATAATAGCAATAGCTATAGCAATAATGATATAGAGATGCTAGATCTTGATTCTGATAGTAATATGGAAGAATATAGAATTTCACAAGAAAATAATAGCAATTCAGAGAGTTTTTCTAACTATGATAAGTCTTTAAGTAATTTTGACTCTAAATATCATTACTTTTATGACTCTCAGGATGGTATAATTTTTATTTTATTTATTTATTTTTTATTTTTATTTATCATTTTTTTATTTTTATTTATTTTTTTTTAAATACTTTTAATATTATTATATTAGTTTTGAATATAGTGAATGATGATATATCTGTGAAATTGGCTACTGCATTAAGATTATTCAAAGTGAAGGTTCAATACAATTTAATAGATAAAGCATTTTAACAAACTATGATCACAATTAATGCAGAACCAATTAGTTTATATGTAGTTAAAAAAAAATTGAAATCATTTGTTAATCTTAGCCCTGTATAAACAGATATATGTTCTAACTTTTATTGTGCATATACTAGAGGTTATAAAAAATTAACCAAGTGTCCAATTTGTAAATTAAATTAGTACTATTATAACAAAACCAGATAGCCATATTAGCAATTTGTATATTTTTCATTTGCACAATGTCTTAGTATTCAATATAAAGATTATAATTATGCTACAGAATTACAATATAGAGCTAATTATATATTACAAAGATCATATACAAATAACCATCAAATAGGTAATGTTTTCGATAGTATTCAGTATAAAGAATTAGTACAAGATAGACACTTTCAAGATGAGCATAATATGGCATTATTGGCTTCAGTTGATAGTTATTAAATATTTAGACAAAAAACTAAAAATTGTTAGATAGTATTAGTAATTAATGCAAATCTGGTACTTAAAAATTGGGTTAAAAAAGAGAATCTTCTAATTAGTTTAATTATACCTAGGCCAAAAGGATTTAAAAATCTTAATTTATTTTTTTTCTTATGGTAAGAGAATTAGAAAAATTAGAAGATAAATATATTAAATTATTATTATAAATAATTAAGTTAATATTTCACTAATTTTAATTAATTTATTAAGTTAATTTTACTAATTATTAATTAAATTAATTTTAGTAACTTTAATTACTAATTTTTAATTATTAGTGAGTATAAATTGCTATAATGCATTTAAAAAAGAATATTTTATACTTCGTACTATAATAATTAGTTAGTTAGGTGATACACCAAGGTTAACAAAATTAATGAGCCTTATCAGGCATAATAGTTATAAAGATTGTCATTATTGTAATTTAAGAGGTGTCTATATAAATCATATCTACTATTCTACAACTTCATTTAAGAACTTGAATTCCACAAGATATTAAGCATCTAATTTACCAAATTAAATATATAAAAAATAGAGAAGAAGACTTAAAATAATTCAAAAGGCCAAGTCTTAAAAAGAATGAAATGAATTTATTACTAATTTTAGTAATATTTGAGTTGCTATTAATAGGAATCAATGTAGAATCTACTTTAATTTTTATTAGATAGAAATTGAAATTAAAATAGATTCTATCTTGATTTCTATTAATGGCAATATATTTTTAGTTCTATAAATTTTATTATTATAGTAACAAATACTAAATATATATATATATATTTTTTATTATTTTTTTTTTTTAATGCAGGTATTAACAATTGTAATATTCTTTTTGATTTAACAATCATTAATTTTCCTAATTTATTTATTATGAATATAATGCATTTATTCTATAAAAATATCACAAAGTATATGTTTAAACATTGGACTAGAACATTCTTTTCAAATGCATTACAGAACAATAAGCTATATATAATAACAAAAGCAGTTTGGTCAGATATTAGAAATAAGATGAATTTATTGCACAAAGATTTATCATCAAATCTTGAAAGACCTTTATATAACATACTACTACATTACCATGGCTATAAAGCTGAAGAATAGGCAATATGGATTACAATGTATTCACTTTCTTTATTTAAAGGACAACTACTATTAGAATATTATAATAGATGAAGCCTTTTTGTAAAGACTGTATAACTATGCCAAAAAAAGTTATATTAGCACATGATTTAAGTCATATTAATGAACTTTTATTAAAGTTTTATACTCATTATGAAAGGTAATTTTCTAGTATATATTTATTTTTTAAACTCAAAAAGACTACTACTCTAGTAATTTTTAAGTTAAAATTGAATTCACAAATTTGATTATTCTTATATTTAAAAGTCAAACTTGTGAATTCAATTTTAGTCTAAGAATTACTAAAGTAATAGTCTTTTTGAATTTAAAAAAAAGCAATATAATAGCACTATATATGCTTACTTTATATTTTTATTTTATATTTAATTTTTTTCTATTCATTTTATTATACTTACTAGAAAATATTACAAAAATTTAATCAAACACATTAGTACAATAAAAATATGTATACATTACATGCTTCACGTATCTTTGAATATTCAGCAAAATGGCCCATGCTATGCAACATAGTAGTTTCCAATCGAACATGTTTGTGGCATGTTACTACCACTTGCAAGATCACAATTACATTCATATAAAAATATTATTAATAACATTTATACTATTGAACTTTTTAATTATTTACAATTCTATAAAAAAATTAACTAAAAAATATTTCTCTTAAACAATAAAAAAATTCAAATTAATTCATTTTCTCAGCAGATAAATATAAAGAAAAATTTTTCAGTTCAACAAAACAACACATATTAAGCAATGCAGAAATTAAAAAAATAAAAGAGCATTATATAACAAATTATAATATAAAGACCTATCAATTACAGATTAATATTTTTATTTAAAAAGAAATAAAATAAATAAATAAAAATAAATAAATAAATAAATAAAATAAATAAATAAACAAAAATAAAAATAAAAAATAAAAAATAAATAAAATTATTTGAATTAATTACTAATATAAAATATTTAGTTTTTTATATCACAAATACAAAAATTTGGCTGCTTATAT